CTGTAGCTGTATATATTTTTATGTTGTCGTTTATTCGACCTTTACATTATGGTTGCAAGTGGAATATAAAGAGGGGATAATACCTTAACCATCATATATATACTGTGGTCATTAAGAGTCAATTTATTATGATGTTAATGTGGCAGTTGCGAAACATTTTACACACATAAATAATATTATTTGCAGTCGCTCACTGCGGCAATCGCCTCATGTGGCACACACATGTTAAGTGTGTGTTTGATGCATTAATGTGGTAAAAAAATCACCACATTAATGCATTAAATAACTACTTGTCATGTATGTGTCACGTAGGGCGACTGTCGCAGTGAGCGACTATGAATAATATTACTCTTTACACATTGTTATTTTAGTTTAATTTAACTCTAATCAAAATGTATATTAACTATGTCACTTGGTTACACGCTATTTTACATCTTTTGTCAAGAACATGGTAATTTCATGGAAGGTCATTGAACTTTTAGTCTCGTTGCAATTGGATCATTGAACTTCAAGTTGAAGCAATCAAGTCCCAATAAGCAAAATAGTAGGTCTACAAACTTTTATCCTAATTGCAATTAGGTAGGCATGGAGAAATAATCTAACATGTTCGTCTCGAATTCTCTGGACCTGCCTCGATTCTTTTTATTTGATTACATTATATTTTACCTTTATGATTTTCCATTTAAATTGCATTAAAATATTAAAAATAACCCTGAATAAATAATTAAAAGGACGGTAAATACGAACTTTATGATACCTACAAGGCGCCGCCCATTTCCATTCCTACAATCAGGTCACTGGACTTTCGTCTAGTTGCAATTGGGTTACTAAACTTTATCAAAACATGGCTAATTAACCTAGTGAATAAATGCGTAAGAAAAAGTAATAGGATCAATTTGAAAATCGCACAAATTCCGTGATATTTGTAAATTTAATTTCTAATAATCTGAAAATTATTACAAAATTCACACATAATCATATGCCTATTTAATAAACGAAGTGCACATATTCACAATCTAGCTTGAACTTTTGTAAGTATTTTACAAAAAAAATGGGTCATAAGACTCTTTCAATATACGAATTTCATTCTTAATTTTAGTCATAGTTTAATTTTCTCCTCTAACCCATTATAATAAGCTGTGCGTATTCCACATTCGACATCTACTACTTATGTTCCAAAACAAACAACTTGAATAAACACCATTGAGGCGATTATATTCTGCCTTCAATTCAGTTTTTAATTTCTTATTTTCCTTGCGTGTGTGATTTTAAAATCATGCCCTCACTCATAAGGGCGACAACTGAAAAGTCAAATTTAAACTTGTGCATCTTGTTAACTTTAAGCTTGTGTATACATTTAGAAAATGTGATAAGACTTTGATATTATACTTTATCATTTTTACATATTGAAATATAAAAAAAGAATTTTACATACATCTTATTACAATATAGTTTTCAATTAGCACATTAGTTATGACTTATAACCTAATCCAATTTTAAAAAAAGGGAAAAAAAAGTGTACAAACCTCTCTTTAATTTCCTTTCTAATTATTCCGGACAATTCTAGACTAATAAAAGAATATGTATCTCAAAATGTTTGCTAAACTTTAGTGAAAATGTTATTGTT